GACACATGGTGTATGTAGAAAACTATGGATTACACACCAAAAAACCTGATGGAAGTAATAAAGTTCATCAAGGTTGCAATATAGGAAAACCAATTCTATTTTTATATACTGCCAATAAGCAATCCAATAGTTGGAAATTTTAAAAAAAAATTCTATTCACAATAGCATCAACATTGAAACACTTCAAAATAAATTTAACGAAAGAAGGGCAAAATTTGTACACTATTACTAAATACTGATGAAAGAAATTAAAGAGCTAAATAAGGGGCCAGCAGGTGGCAAAGAGGTTAGGCTGCTGGATCCCAAATGGCTGACTGCACGGTTCAAGTCCTGGATCGGCAAATTGAGATTCATGTTGGGTGCACGTGTGCACTTCCAAAATCCTGAGAGGAGAATGAAGAGGGGATTGCAGTATGGCCATATCCCTCAAAAGTGATTTCTTACTCCCTCCTCCCCAGCCCAGGAGCGTAGACACCCTATAGCAAAATCTAAAAAAAAAAAAAAAAAAGAAAACAGAAGTTTTGTTACCGAACTCAAATCAAGTTCGCTAGCCAAAGTGTTGTAAAACCAAGCGATAGGCACATGGTGTGATGAAGGAAAGTCCAGCTTTACTGCAAAGCACAAAGCAAGGAGAGAGGGCAGCTCATGCTGAAAAGACCCAGTCTCCCCGCGATGTTCCCCACATGCATTTTTAAGGACAAAAATTGGGGGAGAGGTCCCAGGTGCATGATCATTTCAGTGACTGGTTCAAGAGGGCGTGATCATCTCATGGGCATTCTTGATTGGTGAGGCCTTAGACAATCAAATTCCTCTTCAGGTGTCTGGAACCCTTCAGCCTGGAGTCTCTGAGCTCACAACCAGCAGTTTCCAGCCTACAGAACATCTTACATATTGAAATGAAAACCTTCTTTAAGTGAGAGTTTTAGAGGTCAAATGGCCCTCACTCATGGTCCATGTTGGTCATTATCATGACCAAAGTCTGAAGACTTACTCCTTACTCTGGGCCATTACAATGCAAATGGACTGTATATTTCAGGAACCCTAGAAAATACATTAGGGCGTTCTTGCTCGGTTTCAGTTTCAGGATATGATGATACAGCAATTCTACCCCAGCATCTAACAGATAAAATGCAGTTCCTACCAAAATCCACCACAGTGGGTGCTTTAGTTTTTGGGTTTTTGTTTTTGTCTTTGTTTTTTTTTTTTTTAATAAGCTGGTACTAGCATTTACATGAAAATGTAAGGAACCCAGAATAGCTAAAACAAATTAAAAAAACAAACAAAACAAGAAAACCATTAGATGACTTATACTACCTAATTTCAAGACTTATTGTAAGTACAAGATAGTATGTAAGTAATCAAGACAGTATGGGGAGTAGAAGTTGGTGTAATGGCTATGTCGCCAGACTCCTATGTGGTCAACCGCGGTTCAAGTCCCAGACCCAGTGGCTTAAACTCATGCTGGGCGCCTGTGCGTAAGTACCCAAGATCCTGAGAGGAGAATGAAGAAGAGATTGTGATGTGGCCATCCTCCTAGGGGGTGATTTCTCACTTTCTGTCTCCCTCTCTTTCTGGCAAGCACACACGCACTACAGCAAAAACCTCTTAAAAAAAAAAAAAAACCTTATGATGCTGATGTAAGAATAGGCATACAGGAACTGGCAGATCTGGCAGCTTGCCTTCTCACTTTCCTTTTCTCTCTCTCTCTTTGGTCAAATTGAAAAATAGTAATAATAAATAAAATTAAATAATTCTCTTTAAAAAAAAAAAATTAGGCATACAGATCACCAAAACAGAAATGAGACGCTAGAAATAGACCTTTATGCTATGGTCAACTCATTTATTTTATTACACGAGTAAGAGAGGCAGAGAGAAAGATAGCACAACACCCTCCGCAGGGTCTAACACACAGTCACCCTACCCTCAGCCAGCCTAGATCACGGACACATGCCTACCTGTCATCCCCAGAGAGGTCTCTGGCCACGAACCAGCAACCTTCTCGTGTGAGTCAGCATCACAAAGTATCATACTGTACTGCTACACCACCATCCGGCCCCTGAGCTCATTTTTGACAAGGGTGTCAAGGCCATTAAATAGGGAAAGTACAGGTTTTTTTCAACAAATGGTGGGACAACTGGATATCCTCATATGAAAAGATCAATTGGTACTTTTTTTATGAGACCTATATCATATGCAAAAATAACTATTGAACATAGACTTCAAGTATGATCCCCCAACAATTAAAAAACTAGACTTCCTCAAAATTAAAATCATGTGTTCCAAAAGATAGTCTTGAAGGCCCAGCAGGTGGCATGGAGGTTAAGGTGCTGGATCTCAAATGGCCAATTACACAGTCTGCATCTCAGACCCCGTGGCTTGAAAATCATGCTGGATGCCTGTACACACGTGTCCAAAATCCCAAGAGAAGACTGGAGGAGGGACTGTGACCTGGCCAACCCCCTAGGGATGATTTCTCACTTTCCCCTTCTCTCCCTCTCTCTGGCAAGCACACACACCGTATAGCCAAAATAAAAATAAAAATAAATAAAAAAATAACGATACCCTTGAGAAGATGAAAAGACAATAGATTTGGAGAAATTTCTTGCAAAACACTTATCTCATAATGGACGTGTATCCAGAATATGGAAAAATTACTTGCAACAATTCCAAAAGTTTACTGAATTTACTAAAAATGAATTCGTTGTTTAGAAAAATAGTATATAGCTTCAAAAGGCAGTTTTCATATGAACTCTGCCTTCTTGTAACTAGAGAAAAGTATCAGCAATGCCTTATCAAGGAAGTTTATAGGTTCTCCTGTAAGGGGGGGGTCTTACCAGGAATATGATTTTTACATACCCAGCAGTTTATCCAGGGCCTAACAGAACAGCCCAGATAACTTTACAAGGTCCTTCCCACTCCAAGTCAAAACAATCAATCAGAAAATGTTGTTTGATATTTAGTAAAAATAAAATGCTCAAGATTTACAATGTCATCTGAGCTTTTCTTCTTTTTTTAATTAAAAACTGTAATTAAAACTACAAATTCGATAAACTCCTCTAGGTGTTCTTTCATATTACAGTCAGTCATTCAGGATCCATAAACAGGAAGAGAAAATACACATATCTCAGCCTAAAATACTGATTTAAAAAACCATCTGGTACTGACTGCTAGCCTAATTTGTGGCTTTATCACTACCAACTTGGAACTAACATTCACGTGAGATTCCTCTGATTTTTTCTGAGGCCTCGATAATCAATCCAGCTTTTGACTAGCTAGGCTGGCCTCCTTGTGGCTGGTTTTCATAAATATAAAATTTGTATAATTGTTACTGGAACTACTTGCTAAAATATGGAACTGGTTAGAAATACTATTTATTTAAAAACGTACATGCATTTCCATACATGCAACATCATCCTCCACACCCAGCCAACTTTCATTACCAGACAGAACAAAATTACCAATATAAAGTTTGTCTCTTTTCTAAAGCTTTAGTAAATGTTTTCAAGACATCAAGAGGCATGACTGAATAATGAAAAAATGATTTAAAATGTCTAACATACAAAAATGTAACTAGTATGATTAGTCCAATTCTGAAGAAGTAAGGTCTTTTACTCCCAGGAAAGAGGTAAACAAGGCCCCTTACAGAATTTAGAAAACGAATTCTTTCTTGATACTGTCTTTGTTGTACTTGTGTATGAGTAAGGTATATGAGGGCTTTTCCCACGTGAACCTATTCTGCAACATTACCTTACATTCAAACATCAATTGAATTTAGGTTTAACCGATAAAATCACAATGAAAATGCACTCTATCAAAGCTCATGTAACATCCCTACACATGGTATGAATTCTATCATTTGTAACAACCTTCCTCCCCTCTTGAGCGGAGTAGTGAGAAAATGTTCTGAGCAGCGTATCACTGAAGGTGAGTGACATCCATAATTAGTTGCAGTTGGGTGGCCCAAAAGTGTTTGGCTCACTTGCTAAACTGTAAGCCAATCACATTAAAGTTTGGATGCATTAAATAAGACATAGGTTAGAATAAAACCAGGACCCCAAGAGCTTTCCAACAGTTTCAGATTGGAACAAAAATCCGGGCACATACAGGTCTTTTGCTGGAAAATTCCTTGGCCTCTCTCCTTAAGGTTCTCATCCCAAACTTCTTATGTTTCAAAAACTCAACATCTTTTCCCTCCTCCGGAGTGCTAGCCTATACACAGGATTATAGAGGGTTCACGGTTGTAAACGCGCTCCCCTAAAAAACTATAAACGAGCAAGCCAACAAACATCCCCCCCCCCTCGAAAAATCTCAAGGGCTTTGAACTCAATTTGGCCGGACACTCCAAAAGAGTTGTGGGGGCACGATCGCCCATAAGAAGCCCCCTCCGGTCCCGGTAAGAAAGGCACAGGGCGGGAGGGACAACAGCCGCGCCCCGGGCTCCTCTAATTGGGCCTCGCCCCCACCGGGTGCCCTGGAGGGGCTTGCGGGAGTGGGAGGCTGGGGGTGGAGAAGAGACTAGCTGCAGAGGGCAACGGGTTAAAAGAAGTGAGCTTTTCAAAGCTCCCAGGGATCCGAGGCAAAGAAGTTCACCTTTGCTCCTCTCCTTTGAAGAAGACATAGCTGCCTGCGTTTAAGGAACAAAAAGAACCAAAACGCCAACTCCCAGCTCCCATCACTCTGGGGGTTCCTTTCCGCGTGACCCCACCGCCGGCTCCACCCCTAGATCGCCCCGCCCCCCAGCCACGCCCTCGAATTCAGCCACGCCTCCTCGCAGGCCACGCCCCTGAGCTGGCGCCACCCGATGCTGCTTCCCACCTCCCCTCTTCAGCCCTTGCAGCCGGCTGGGGCCCCGCTCACCCACCTCGCGGCGTGGAGGCCACGGCCATTCTCGCGAGTCTTCCGTCGGCCCCCGGCCCGCCCTTAGCGCCCCCAGCTGACGTGTCGGTCAGACCCCCATGGAAAGCTGCCGCCCTCGCTTGGTCCTGCGGCCTCTCTCTTACCGGGTGGTCCTCGCCAGCGCTGCTTCAGCAGTTTAGACAGTGGCAGAAAGGAAGCCACCGCCCGGGTTCTGTGGCTTGAAAAGTTGGCCTCACTTCGTATTGGCCTTTTGTTTCGACTTTTTGGAATTTTCCCGCGGTCGTTCGGCAGCGGAGCCGCGCGCGCGCACGTGCCCGCAGTGCATCCTCGGGCCTGGCGATGGCGGGGCCTGTCGCGCTGGGATTCCGCCGTGGCCTGTGTGTGTTCCCCGCTCTTTTCCGGAAGGCTCTCGGGCGACGAGGACCCGGGAAACAAGTCCCGGGGTTTTCAATCCGGCTATTGCCCGTCTAACATTCTGTTCAAGATGTGAACTAAGAATCAGCCCTGCAGTGTAGCCGAGGCTTCGTAAAGGGGTGAAACCTCTAAGCACAGCCTGGGATGTGATATTCCTAACTGGTCTCAACAGCAACAGAAAGGCATGCTTCCTCCGTTAACGATCCCCCAGGGCGCCAAATCAGTTCCATACAGTTTGGATTCGGGGTTCACATCAGTTCAATGCTGTATTTAAGCCACTTACATAAATAGAAAGCAGCATTTCCGTTCATGTCAATGGTATTAGCCTGTCTGGGTAGTTTTACTTTTTTGAACCATTGAACCTGGTAATACTGAAGGTTTTTCATAAATGTTGGAGCTGTTTAAAAAGAGAGAAAGAAAAAAAAGTACCAAGAATCTGGGCCTAAAACTTTTTAAATTTCTTAAGTCAACGTCTCACAATCATAAAATTACGATTTCACATGTGTTTGCAAAGAAAGCTTATCTACCAGTCAGTGTATGCATGTAGTAAAAACAGCTCAATTACTGAAACACTTCCAACTATTAGGATGAAGGAATATCAAATTTACCAAAGAATACATGTAATTCAGTGATAAAGTAATTTGCCAAAATTAAGCAGCATTTAAATGATAAAGTTACTGTGGGGGATAGTGGCAGTAACAATTTTTTTAAAATTAAAGGGAAGTATCACAGGAACCTGATCCAGAGTTTGAGACAAAGTTGGCAGAATCTGCAACTATATGTGGGGGTCTTTTTTTTTGGAGAGGTTTTTGCTATAGGGCGCCTGCGCTCGCCAGACAGAGAGAGAGACAGAGAGACAGAAAGTGAGAAATCACCCCCCCAGGGGGGATGGCCACACTGCAATCCCTTCCCTTCTCCATTCTCCTCTAGGGATCTTGGGCACGCACGCACATGCGCCTGGCGTGAGTTTAAGCCACTGGGTCCCGGACTCCGTGGTTGACTACGTGGGAGTCCAGCGACATAGCCATTACGCTAACTGCTGGTCCCTGTGGGGGTCTTTAAAAAGCTCATGGAGGGCCCAGTAGTGGCATGGCTCTGGATACCCACATGGATGACCATGGTCAAGACCGCAGTTCCAGAGCTGGACCTGGCAGTTTGCTTTGTTGCTTTCCCTTTCTCTCCCTCTCTCTCTCTGGTCAAGTTTAAAAATAATAATAACAAATAGAAATCAATAAATAATAATTCTTTTAAAAGTCTGTGGAATTACCTATCATAAAAAAGCTATGCATGAGTTTTGAAACTTTGCACCAAATAAATTTATATTTTATTTTTACATTTCCACAGACTTCTGAAGTGACTTGAGTATTAAGAGCAAATATTTAAATCCATTCTTGAAACAAATTTTTTGAAGTACCTTCACTGTTAAAGAATTAGGTATTTAAATCCACTCTTGAAACAATTCCCTGCTAATGAAAAAGGCCTGTGCTTTTTCATGTGTGCATATTTTGATGTGGGTGAATTGATAGCAGGTCCTATGTAGACATAGACATGCTTGAGTGGCACCCCTCAGTAGCACCTTGGCCATAAGAAAGTCCGGTCTGTGGTATCAAATCATAAGTGAGTTAATGTTTAAGTCCTTATTTACCAGCAAGGAAAGCAATTAAACCATTTTTTTAGAGCAAATGTCTATTTTGATACTCAAATCCCTTTGCATATTTGTTGAAAAGTCATTTTATTGTTTGTAATTTTTTTAAGAGAGGTTTTTTTACTATAGGACATGTATAGTTGCCAAAGAGACAGACAGAAAGCTAGAAATCACCCCCCCTCCCAGAGGAGATGGTCATGCCACAATCCCTTCTCCTCCATTCTCCTCTTGAGATCTCGGGCACACATGCACACACACCCAGCGTGAGTTTGAAGCCACTGGATCTGGGACTCAAACTATGGTTGACTATGTGGAAGTCCAGCAACGTAACCATTACACCGTCTGTTAGGTCCTTAACCAAAACGCCAACTCCCAGCTCCCATCACTCTGGGGGGTCCTTTCCGCGTGACACCACCGCCGGCTCCACCCCTAGATCGCCCCGCCCCCAACCACGCCCTCGAATTCAGACACGCCTCCTCGCAGGCCACGCCCCTGAGCTGGCGCCACCCGATGCTGCTTCCCACCTCCCCTCTTCAGCCCTTGCAGCCGGCTGGGGCCCCCCCTGCCCCCC